CTAACACAATAGGCTATACTGTACCAGCTACATCACTGCCGTTTACACTTACTTCTGGACATCCTGGGCTTGAAATACATATACTATACTACTGTACTTTATACAGTACTGTAGCACACAAAAGTGCAACCACTTGTAGAGGATGCACACATTTGACAATGTTCACCTGACACATGGACTAACTTACATGATTAGACATGTGAATGCACATTCACATCTTTGAAGGCTCGCAACTTGGCTCGTATGTAGGGAACTTAATGTAAAACTAAGAACTGTTAAGGGTGACAACCTCTCAAAAGTAAGACTGGGAGGAGCAGAAGCTCTTCTTTCACTTAGTGCCATTTTATATCTCTCCCCTTTTTAAAATATGTTAGGATACAAAGAATGATCTGGAAGGAAAGTAGGAGCTTTTAAAAGGGGAGTTAAAGGTGGCTGCTTGAGGTACATTTTGTCTTTCTGCCCCTGCTGTGCTTCAAATACATATAACACTTACTTGACCACTTCATACCACAATTCAGAGTCCCCTGGGATATAATGTACTAAACATGTTTAACTTACTATTCAAAATTCCAAATTTATAACACAGATTTTTTTTTTTTTTTCCAAAATTGCTCATCATGGACTCTTTTGAAAAACAGCTCATTAAAGTTGTTTTAGCCGGGCTCGGTGGCTCAGCCTGTAATCCTGTGCCTTTGGGAGGCTGAGGTGAGTAGATTGCCTGAGCCCGCGGGTTCGAGACCCGCCTGGGCAGCGAGAGCTCATCTCTACAATAAAATAAAAAAATCAGCCGGGTGTGGTAGCGTATGCCTGTAATTCCGGCTACTTGGAAGGCTGAGGCGGAAGGATCGCCGGAGCCCAGCGGGTTGAGGCTGTGGTGGCCCGGAGCGGCCACTGCACTTGAGTCTGGGCAACAGAGTGAGACTCCAACTCAAAAAAAAAAAAAAAAGTTGTTGTTTTAACTACTTGGTAGCAGTAGAGAGGTTTGGGATTTGAGAAATGTAAATCTGCTCAATGTCACTGCCAAGCCAGACAGAGGAAAAAGCATCTCTGAAATGATAAAAAATACACTTTCATGAAAAAAACCACTTGAACGCTAGGTGTATTTGGCAGAATTCCAGTACATTCTACTATCTGCCACAGCTGTAGAGTTCCACTGCTATCAAGATCACTGACCTGGGGGCTTCTTCATCACAAGAATATTGACGTATGTATAACTGAGGGGTATAGAATTCTGCCTGGATAATGAAAAGTTTTAATTGTGGGATATCAAAAAATAAAAGTTCTGCTACATACCAAATTGATTTTGGGTTAGTCAAATAACTTAAGCTTGAATCCTCATCTATGACATGCAATTAATAATAACATTCTGCTTATTCATCAAGGTTTTGCAAAAATTAAATTGAATAGCCCATGCAAAGAAAAGCACTAAAAAAATTTATAAAGGTTAAGATGAATGTGAACTCCTCAAGGACTCATGTGGAAAGAAAAAATTCTTTAGATAATTGTCTCTTGCAAATAACATAAAAATAGAAAAATTGCTCTTCCTTCGAGAGTTGTTAATCATATAAAACATCACATTTCTTGAGTCAAATTGTCTTCTATTTTTGCTCTTTCAACATAGACTAGATTTAAATGAAGACTTACTTTAATATTACAGCATTTTGACAAGAAGGGGTGTGTGTGTGGGTGTGTTGAGGGGTAAGTCGGAAAAAATAAAAGCACCTTAAATGCCAGTAATCAATCAGCTCAAAATCTACCCTTCTTTACTCTGCTTTGTGGTAGCTAGACACGGGTTGGACTCTGTAAACATCTCTTGACATGATGACTGTTAAGCTTTAGCAACAGAGGACTCTGGAGAGACTATGGAATGATAGTGACAGGAAGATTAGTCCCTTCTGGTTCTAGTTCTCTGTCATCTATCCAGTGGAGCAGCTATGTGTGACTAGATGAGTTCAGGCCACCTCCCCATCCACCCCCACCTTCCAGTAATGGCGGGCTGCTGGTCAGCACCACCTGCACCCTCTGGCCAGTTTCTTCCGTACTCAGAGGCTGCGTTCCAGCACTGGTCAGGTCCTCTTTGAAGAGGTCTGAATTTTAGCCTTGGAGGAAAGGGGGCCTTCTTTACACTCCATAAATCTTTTACTGTCTTCTCTTATTCAGCAGAAGGGCCAGAAATCAAAGCCAAAGGCTGGACTGAAGTGGGAATAATTAAATAGGGCCAATGAAAGACTATATTCTTACAGGAAGACTGAACCAGAAGTTACTCCAAACCCTCCCTTCTCCCTAAGGAATTGTGCCAGGCCTAACAAGAGGTTGTCGCCAACTACTCTACGGATTTGCAGCCCAAATTCTCATCATCAGGTTGGTCTTAGAGAACCAACTTGTTAATTTAGTTTTAAAGTGGTTCCAAACCTGGGGAGGAAAGAGAATTAAAAGTTCCCATATCCAGAATTAACTTAACTGTTGGCCAGAACAAAGTCCAACAAATTTTAAAGGAAGAAAACAAAATCTAGAACGTAAGAGTCAGCATACTATATATAGCCTGCAGGCTAAATCTAGCCTGCTGTTTTTGTAAATACAGTTTTACTGGAACATGGTCATATCCACTCATTTATATATTGTCTATGGCTAATTCCTAGCAGAGTACACAGACTGTATAGCCCACGAAGCCTACAATATTTACTATCCAGCAATCTTTACAGAAAAAGCTGACCTCCCAGCTTAGATCTTTAATGTTTAATGTAATTATTTATGTGGTTGGATTTAGGCATATCATTTTTTTTCCTAGTTTGTCACTGTGGTTTTGTTTTTGCCTCCTCCTTTTTGTTTTTTAATTGTTAATATTCCATCTTAATTTACCTATTGGTTATATATCTGTACTTTTTAAAAGACGCCTGCTTTAGTGATTACAACATTCATATCTAAAGTCTCATGGCTCATAATTTCAAATATTACACTTCATGTAAAATGTAAAAGCCTAGCAGCTAAAAACTGCAAACAGCTCTGAGACTGATGATATAAACGGACATGGGTAGACCCTGTATGACAGTAGAACTCTGACTATACCATCTGCAGCAACTAGTCCTGGAAGCCAAATCACTTTCTCTGCAGTGATCATACTTAGTGTGGTCAGGACTTAGTCAGTGACTACCAACATCCCAACGTACTGGTCCCTCTTCCAGTTTGGAACCAGAGAAAGCAAGCCAAGTATGTTCCCTGAAGCAATCGTAGAAGATGCCTGTGGCTAATTGGTCAACCTCCAGCTTCCTTATGCCAACACCCTCCAACCAGAGTCTGCCTGAAGCTGTCCCTCCCCCCTCCACTATAAACCTGCTTGCATTTGAATCTGCCCAACAGATTGTAGCCGACTCCCTTGCCTCAGCAAACTGAATAGTCTGTCCCATTTGGGGATGGTCTTCATTTATTTTCTCAATGCAAATGTTCACCAATAGCATAATAAATAACTGATATAATCATATAATGGACTACAGTGTAAAATAAAAACGAACAAACTGCATACAATTTAAATTGCACAAACATGTTGAGAGAAAGATGGCAAAGAATAATCACATTCACTTAATTTCCTTAAACATCATGAGTCCAAGAGAACAACAAAAATACTAAAAGGTGCTTTCCAGGCTACCTACAACTTTACCTTAGCCTTTACCTCCTGTTTACAGGGAATCTTAAGCTTAGTCAGAGGTACAGGCATAGAGTCCTCTCAGGTCTTTTCTGAAAGTGTGTCCACTCCCAGGAATGTATGTGATTATCAATTCCAAAAAGTTTCTTCCAAGTTTTTGCGGCCTAATAGTTGCTTTGGTAGAGAGACAACTCTTTGGAGCTCCCTATTCTGACATTTTGGGTGACATTGCTATATTAACATTTTTGAATAATTACATTTCATGAGGATAGATTAGTGGTTGCCAGGATTTGGGGGAAAGATGCAGGATGGAGGTGAGTGTGGTTATAAAAGAGCAATGTGAGGGATCCTCGGGGTGGTGTTTATTTATATGAACCCAAATCACTGTTTCGAGCCAGAGTACAAAACTGGGGAAATAAGATGGATTATATCTATGTCAATAGTCTGGTGGTGATACATTGTAGAGTTTTACAAAATACTAATATTGGGGGAAACTGGGTCGAGTGTACAAGGGATCTCTTTTTACAACATTCTTACAACTGCATGTGAATATAGTTATCTCAACAAAAATTCCAATTAAAAAGAAGTAATCCAGAAAATTCACTTGAGATAAAAGTTTAGGAATATGTTACCCAACTTATTTTGCTTATGATTTCCTTCCTTTCATATTCACAAGCTATACAATAAAAGTGTTTAAATAAATCTAAAATAGCCCTTTTAATGAGTAAAATTCTATGCTGGGCACAGCGGCTCATGCCTGTAATCCCAGCACTTTGGGAGACTGAGGTGAGAGGATCATTTGGGCCCAGGAGTTCGAGAACAGTCTAATAACATAGCGAGACCTCATCTTACAAAAAAATTAAAAAATTAGCCAGGTGTGGTGTTGCATACCTGTAGCCCCAGCTACTCTGGAGGCCGAGTTGGGAGGATCACCTGAGCCCAGGAGGTCGAAGCTGTGGTGAGCCATGATTATGCCACTGCACTCTAACCTGGGGAATGGAGTGAGACCCCACCTCAATTAAAAAAAAAAATTTTAAAAAGAAAAATTCTAAGAAAGCACCATGCTGCAGTATAATTGATAATTTTTCTTCTCCAGTGGCATATAAAACAATAGTGGAACTTGAAGTTAGCTACATCTTAGATTTGAAGATTTATGGTGTTTGGAAATGAGGAGGTTGAGTTGCAAGTCTCTTTTGACTCATGATGCCAGCTTTGGTATGAATCATCCAAATATCTGAGACAAACACAGGGCTAGTATCCTGTGCCACAACAGGGTAGAGGAGTCAAGAAGCACACAGTACATTTGTATACCTAGCCCCAAACTGTACCCCACATTAAGTAAAAAAAAAAAGACCACATAGTAATTATCCACATTTCTATTTACTACACATATAGGATAACACAAATTCAGGAACAATGGGAATTTTAATATTTTCACTCATTTGCAAAACATACTTAACTGGAAATACTAAATAATTCTGTTAGTTTTGGATGAAATCATCTGCAGAATAAGATGTTGGTGAAAACTCAAAATTACCTAGTAAAGTGTACTATGACCTTGTTTATTATCTATCATTGGATCACAGTTAATACCAATTTAAGCTTTACAGAATACTATTCAGGCACAATACTGATATATGAAATGAAAGTATCAGAGAATCTGTTATTTATGGCATAAAGAAGATGTATTCAGTACCATCTTTGTCAAAGTCTAAGCACTGGAACAAAAGACAAATTATTTCTAAATGAGATACAAATTTATTCTTGCTAATAGTACGAATTTTTTTTCCTATGGGTATTACTATTTTCAAGTTATTTTCTTTAACATCTTAAGTAATTAAGTAGTGTATTAAGGCCATACATCAAGTCATTAGCTCATATCAAAGGACAATTATTCAATGATTTAGGACATTCATTTTTATGTATGTATGTGTTATAGTGTTGAAGTCAGCCTACAAATACAGGAAAGGTTAACATAAATACTTTTTGTCTTTATCTGGTTTTAATTTTTATTAGAACAGAATTTAGGGTGTGGATATTGAATGTGGCAGAATTAAATTCATTTTTTATAAAAATAAAAAGACTCTTAAACAATAGAATAACGATAGCATATAATCTACTCATAGCACAAATCCTCATACTGACTGTCACAGAAAAATACTGTAATGCTTTAAACAAAAGTTTTAAAATGCATCAATAACTAGCAAGTTTAAAACAAAACACGGTGATCAAAATATTTAACTGTCCTTTTATCAAGCTTTTACAAACACATTCAGTCTTCACTATCCGAGCAAATCAGTTTTAGTTTCTTCATAGTCCTCCATCTGTCTTTTAACATGACACTTGTCCGGTTGTTGAATTTATAATGCAATAATATTTTAGACCAGCTTCCCTCTCCGTATTTCCTCACACCAGCTCTCAAATTCTTGTCTTCTTCCCAGAGCCATGCCTTTTGATAAAAAGTAGAACAGTTATTTACAGAAACAATTCTTTAACAAAAATATACCTACCGCGCGCACCTGTAGTTCCAGCTACTGGGAAGGCTGAGGCGGAAGGATCGCCAGAGTCCAGCAGGTTGAGGTTGTGGTGGCCGGGAGCGGCCATTGCACTCCAGTCTCGGCGACAGAGTGAGACTTCAACTCAAATACCTACCATAAATGCTAATTTTTAAAATAAAATAATGCTTACAGGCTCTTAAAGATGGAAGAATGTCTCTATATATTTCTTAGATTTTTACAAGACAGTATATTTATTATGATAACATTTTTAAGGGTTGTTACTATTACTGTTCATTTTATATAAGCTCAGTTGCCCAAGATCCAACAGCTGGAAAGTGACAGGGATACATGCCAACTCATTCTGTCTGAATTTAAGCTCATACTCTTGTTTTAAAAAAATTATTTTATTTTAAAGATGTGGGGTACAATTCAGGATTAGGTATACAACTGGTCATCGTTTAGCTAAAGTTTGGGCCTCCCTTTGGACCCCACTTTGCCTGGCTTGAGATCTGGTACTCTTACTAATGTTATGTGCCCCCACACCTGGCAGTTTCCAACTACTGCCAATCTCTTTCTTATTGTATTATGGTAAATGTTCAGGGTTCGCTTATGAGTGATAACATGTGGTATTCGGTTCTCTGTTTCTGTGGTAAATCAATGAATATTATAGACTTTACATCCATCCAAGTTTCTGTGACACTCATAATTTTGTTCTCTGTGGCTGCATAATATTCCTTATGTATATGTACCACTTTTTTTTTTTTTTTTTTTTGAGTTGGAGTCTCACTCTTTTTTGTTTTTGTGTTTTTGAGTCGGAGTCTCATTCTGTCGCCCAGGCTGAAGTGCAGTGGCATGCTCATAGCTACCAAAGCCTTCCACCTCAGCCTTCCAAGTAGCTGGAACCACAGGCACGTGCCGCCACATCTGGCTAATTTTTTGATTTATTGTAGAGATGAGGTCTCGCCAAGTTTCCCAAGCTGGTCTTGAACCCCTGGGCTCAGGCAATCCTCTCACCTCCGCCTCCCAAAGTGCTGGGATTACAGGCATGAGCCACTGCACCTGGCAGGACTTACTCTTTTAGTGAGCCTATGTGTGACCTTCATAAGTGCTTCTCCTTCTACTATCCCCACCACTACTCCTGTGAGACAGGAAGGCTAGAGGGATGTGGAACTGGTTATTTTCGTAGGTCAGTTAAGCTCTTGCAAAACCCCAATTGGTTAGGTTCTAGTTAAATTAGTTTATATTATATGCAGGCTTTTATTAAGGAGAACAAAATGCTCTGAGAGTATTTTGAAATGGTGAATATGTCAAAATGGCTACTTTCCTCATTCCCCTGTCAGAAGCAGGAAGAATTTTTGTCTGATCATCACTCTGAGGCCTGATGGGACTCCTAGGGATAAAAAAGTGCGTGGATTTCTCTGAGACTGGGCCCCTGGAGTTTTTAACTCTCATGCTCATCCACACTGAGCTTCCATCAGTTCCTCAGTCACAGTCTAATTCCTCCTACTAGTACTGGCTTCCAGCTGTAAGTTTCTGTCCCCTGGTTTTTCAATCCCTCGTAATTCTTGTGATTGTCTCCTTGCTCATTTTTTTGTTAAATAAACAAAGGTATTTCTGCCTTATCACTGTTTAGAGAGGTTTCCTTACTTTACTATCACATCAATCAGGATCCTGGGGGTTTTAGTTGAAATGAGCTTCCTCAGACCCTTATTAAGAAGTTGTCTCTAAGGAAACCCAAAGACAACAAGAGAGACAAAAACAGGACACTAGAGGAATGTTTAGCCTCTGATGCCTACAGCAACAACAAACAATAACTGCTAGCCAGAGAAATACAAAACCTCAAACTAAAAGACCATTTACCTCCATTCCTTTTACCTGACATATCATGTCCAACTATCAACTAAATATTACAAGCATACTATAAGGCAAAAACCAGTCTGAAGAGACTGGCATGCATCAGAACCACACTCAGATATGGCAGAGATTTTGGAATTGCTATACTTGGAATTTAAAATAATTATTATTACTATCCCAAGGGCTCTAATGTAAAAAGTGGACAATATGCCTGAACAAATGGGTAAAAAGAGAGATGAACCCTAAGAAAGAATCAAAAGGAAATGCTAGAAATCAGCACAGTAACAGAAATGAACAGTGCCTTTGATGGGCTTATAAGTTTACCAGACACAGCAGATGAAACAATCAGTTAAGATATGTTAATAAAAACTTCCCAAACCTAAAAAAGTAAAGGAAAAAAATGATTAAAAAAAAGAGAAAAGATTATCTAAGAACTGTGGGACAATTACAAAAGGTATAACATTTTGTAAACATTAGAAACACAGAGAAAGGAACAGAAAAGTTTGAATAACAGCTGAAAATTTTCCAAAATTAACAGACACCAGATCACAGATCCAGAAAGCTCCTAGAGAACACGCCAAGCGGGAAAAATATATACACACAGAAATCTATATCCATGCACATCATATTCAAACTGCAATAAAATCAAGCACAGAAATATATGACTGTGGTCACATAGAGTGGCATAAGGTTGGCATTTCTCCCTTCTTTTGGAATTCATCCAAGGAAACAAGGAAAAAATAAAATCCCAAATTTCCAAAAAAGTAGGAGACATCTACAACCTGAACCACAATATAGGAGGAAGGGGTGCATAATCACTGCAATTCAGGTATGTGAGGAAGAAGGGCACAGCCACTCTGTCTATAGATCTCAGGAAGCTGGTAGGGTGTACTTTTCCAAAATTGAGGAAACACTCTAAATCCCTGGTCAGCAACAGCAGGAGTTCCCCCCAACCTACTAAAGGGCAGAGATGGCAGAGCTAAAAAAGAAATCACAAAGACAAGTAATATCTGCAGAAAGCAAATTAAAAGGAGGATTTGCTTGCTATGTTCACTGGAGGAGAAATAAAGGGTAAAATAACGCTGACTTATAGGAGATATTCCCAGTAGCCTGCAACTTGATTATAGTTACAGCACTTCAATATGAACCATTAGCAAACCACTGTCAAAAAAAAAAAAGCCACCTTAAGTAGATTAAGAAAAAGGTTCCAGCCACAAAAGAAAACAAGGGCCAGATTTATCCATCTGCTCTAAACAACTAGAAAATCAGATAAAATGTATGAAATAATGATTTCAGATGGCATAGGACTACACTCACTGAGTGGAGAAACAAATGAATTAAACCCTAAAGTTGACCCACCTTAATGCAATTTTCTGATCAATTAGTATCTCTTATTTCTTTTTTTGTTTTTAAGTACAAAATAATCTTATTTAAATTGGACAGTTATTAGGAAGATTTTAAAATAAAACCTTATACTATGGAGCTAAGTCTCACTTAACATCTGATGAACTTCCTTTATGGTAATATCACAATAATTCTAAATAGATGTCAGTATCAACATCCAACTTAAGATTATTCTTTAAATGTGGGTGAAGTATTTTCTTAGAATTCTAAATAGGCTAATTAGTCTTAATCTAAAATGACAAAATCAAAGACGGCAAATAATATTTTACAATCAAGTTTTTTTAGAGTTGAACAGAAATAACATGAAATAATCACAGTTTCAAATTATAACTTTAACGTTTGTAAGTATAATTTAATCAAATATAAAAAAATACCTGTCTTTTCCTAGATTGATGTTTTTCAGGACTTACTAGTTGCCTCTTTAAAACATGGACTGATTTGCGTTCAGTGGTTCTTCTGCTTTCTTTTTTCTTTCTTCCACCTAAAAGTAGAAATGATGTCATCAAAAAATTGCTTCAGGGTTGGGCATGTGGCTGAAACCTGTGATCCCAGTACTTTGGAAAGCAGAGGAAGGAAGATTACTTGAGTCCAGGAATTCGGGACCAGCCTAGGCAACATAGCGAGATAAAAAACAAAAAAACTAGCTGGGTATGGTGGCGTGTGCTGAATATATAAGGTTTACACTCAAGTAGTCCTGGCTACTTGGGAGGCTCATATAGGAGGATTGCGGCCAGGAGTTCAAGACCAACCTGAGTAACATCACATAATTCTGTCTTTATTTATTTATTTATTTTTGAGTTGGAGTCTCACTCTGTCGCCCAACTAGAGTGCAGTGGTACGCTCACGGCCACTCCAGTGTTGACCTGCTGGGCTCTGGCCATCTTTCTGCCTCAGCCTTCTAAGTAGCCAGAACTATAGGCACATGCTACCACACCTGGCAGATTTTTTTTTTTTTTTTTTACTTATTGTAGAGACAAGGTCTTACCATGTTGCCCAGGCTGGTCTCTAACCCACGGGTTCAGGTAACTTCTCGCCTCAGTCTCCCAAAGTGCTGGTATTACAGGCTTGAGCCACCATGCCCGGCCTGTCTTTATTTTTTTTAAATTAAAAATTTTTTTTTTTACATTAAAGAAAAAAGAGACTATATTTTTAAAGATTATCATGAAAGTCCTATTTACTTTTCAGCTATTCTAAGAAAAAGAATTCTACATGTTTTACATGTTAACTTTATTCTTTCAAATCTGGAAGTAGCATGATATAGCAAAGATCACAGTCTTTGACATTAGAGAGGAAGTATTTTGAGTCTTGATTTTTAAAAAATATGTTCTATATCATCTCACCTTCCTAAGCCTGTCTTTTCATCATCTGTTATAAAAAGAAAAAGTATTTACCATATAGGATTGTTGAAATTTTCTTAGGGAAAAAGTACTTGAGTACTTGACACAATATAAGAAATATACCCTTTCCTCACTCCTTTCTCATTTGCATTCAATTTAGTAAGACAAGAAATAATTGTAAACAAAACTGTAATTATTGAAAGATGATAATTGTTTAGGTAGAAAACCTAGAGAATCTACAAATAGAAAAAAAAGCTTAGCAAAATGGTTGGACATAAAATCAACATACAAAAAAGCAATAGGATTTCTACACATTAGAAGCAAACAGTTAAAATATTTAATAAAAACAATCAAAAGCTACTATTTACAGTAGCAACAAAAATATAACATTCTTAGAGATTAATGCCAGCAAAACTGGTTCAAGAACTGTATTTAGTAAATTGTAAATCTTTACTACATATATGGCTGGCCCTAGTATCTTCAGGTTCCACACTGTGGATTCAACTAAACTTGAAACAAAATATTTGGAGAAAAACTAAAAATACAAATAAAAAATAGAGTATAACAAAGATTTACACAGCATTTACATTGTATTAGTTCTTATAAGCAATTTATCAATGATTTAAAGTATGAAGGGGATATGCATAGGTTTAAAGACTATGCTATTTCATGTAAGGACTTGAACATTCGAGCATTTTGGTATCCTTAGGTGGTTCTGGAACCAACCCCCCATGGATACTGAGGGACAATGGCATACATAAAAATGTGTTGGAGAAATGTTCTTTGTTCATGCATAGGAAGACTTAATCTAATAGTGTCAATTCTCTCCCAAATCATCTATTGTTACACTGCAATTTCACATAAATATATCAACAGGGCTCACGGTATAACTTACATTACATGTACCAAGAAGGGTAGTCCACCATGAGCCCCGAGTATCCCTGCAGCAGTTCATCCTGGATGTAAAAGGTTTATTCATCCAATATTGTGCAGATTTTATAACTAGTCAGATGGACATTAAATAGGTTAAGGAAACCACAGCATGATAACCCTGGAAGTGCTCTGTCCTGTGGGAGATCCTCCTTTGTCTGTTATTTGCTATAGTTTTTTTTTTTTTTTTTGAGTTGGAGTCTCACTCTGTCCACTGGACTGGAGTGCAGTGGCCACTCCCGGCCACTGCAGCCTCGCCTGCTGGGCTCCGGCGATCCTACTGCCTCAGTCTTCCGAGTAGCCGGAGTTACAGGAATGTGCTACCATGCCCGGCTGATTTTTTGATTTATTGTAGAGATGAGGTCTTGCTGCCCAGGCGAGTCTCGAACCTGTGGGCTCAGGCAGTCCACTCACCTCAGCCTCCCAAAGGCGCGGGATTACAGGCTGAGCCACTGAGCCCGGCTTATTTGCTATAGTTTTGAGGCTTACTCACAATGTGCTAGCCCTTGGCCCTGAGTGCGTCAGCTGAAATACAACCTATTGGTTTCATAGCATTCATGTAGGCCCATTGTATTGCCCATGGGACTTGGGGTAGGAGAACCAGCACAACTACATAGATACCATGCTGTTTGCTATGCTGTAATAAACTGTCTTACTGTGTCATTCATTCTTCTCTACCTTTTTCATTCATATATTGGCAGTTTTATTGCTTATAATCCTCTATGGTTGGGGTATTTTCCCTTACAACATACCAAGAATAGTCAAGGTGCTCTAGATGAAGAACAAAAAGATTTCCCTACCACTTAATGAATTATTAAAAACCTACAGTAGCTGGGTTCGGTGGCTCAGCCTGTAATCCCGCGCTTTGGGAGGCTGAGGTGAGTGGATTCCCTGAGCCCGTGGGTTCAAGACCCGCCCGGGCAACTTGGCGAGACCTTATCTATACAATAAATCAAAAAATTAGCTGGGTGTGGTAGCACGCACCTGTAGTTCCAGCCACTCGGAAAGCTGAGGCAGAAGGATCGCTGGAGTCCAGCAGGTCGAGGCTGCAGTGGCTGGGAGCGTGCCACTGCCCTCCAGCCTGGGCAACAGAGTGAGACTCCAACTCAAACAAACAAACAAACAAACAAAAAACTCACAGACTTTATAGTAAAGTACTGTGAACGAGAATCATGTGTTGTTTAATAAGGGAGGTACAATTCTGAGAAATGTATCATTATGTGAACATCAGAGTACATTCACACAAATGTATTATATATGTTTTTTCATATGGAAAACTTACCATCCCAGCATCATTAATAAGAATCAATCACTTCCCCTAATTGATTTGCAATGCCAATATCAAGTGTCATAATATTGAGCTTCTATTATACTCCATTATATTCTTATGGAACCATCATACTGTATGAACTCCTGTCTTTGACTGCAATGTCATTATGCAACATATGAATACAGTGCAGGTAGAAAAGCAGTGCCATACAATAGCAAAATAACTCTAAGCTAGTTAGTACAAATAGCTAACTCTCCAAATTAAGCGCAACTTCAATGAACTCTATGTAATTAAGACACAAGCTCTTTGTGCTTCAGTTTTCTGAGATGTGTATTTTTTGTGTTGTAGTGGTATGGTCAACAGCTGGATTGTTTGAGAAATCCACTTCCAAAATGGTAACAACAGTACTCACTTTGAAGAGTTCCCACTCTTTCCTCTTTGTTATTAAGGTCTTGTTGCTGGCTTCCATGTTTCAACTTCAATGAGAAGAGATTCCTGTGAGACCTAAGTAAAATATGAAAGCTTGGTTCTAGAATATGAAATATGAATGACTGGCTCCAGAAAAATTAGTAAAGCTATGGAAAAAAGGTAAAGCTTTATCTTAATTTGTTCTAGGATCTTCTACTTTGGCCCATGGCCTTTCGTGCTCTCCTTGTTTAGTGCCTCATCTTAACTTTTGGCCTCTTAAGATTTCTGTTGTCAAACTTCCCTCCCTCCCATCTCTTGTTTTCCACTTAGAAATCAAGAGTCTAGGCCTTGATCTTACACATATCAAGGAAAAAAAATTCTCAAACTACAAAGTATTAACTTTCATTCTCTCCTATGTCTTCTAAGTTTATTTCCCCAAAGAGAAATTCCACAATTCCTTTATATAATGGCAAGTATCATTTGATCATATTTATAGCTTCAAAAAGAGTTTTTTGAAAGGTAAATGCTGTCTGAAAATATAGGATGTGGTGTAATTTTTTGACTACCCTGCAAAGTTGGTATTATTCAAATTTTATAAAGGAGCAAATTAAGACCCACAAAGCAGTTTGCCTAAGATTAGGTAGTTATATTCATTATCTCCACCGCAAATGTAGGCTCTTTCAGCTATACTTTTATCCCTATAAATACTCTATGCAACCAGATAATCCTTTCCATCTTCTCTTACCTCCCTCCCTCCCAAAATTGTGCTCTCTGGAATGCCATCCTCAACCTCTTCAGCAGTTCCTCTACCTCTTTGCCTTGTCTAAAATCTAGCTTTCCCCTGGTAACAATGTTTCTCTCTTTTGTGGCCTTCTTAAGTAGAGATTCTCATAATCTTCCACCCTCCATTATCTATAGGATCCCAGGTGGTAGTTTTCATTTCCTAATAAATGCCACTTTCAAGATCCTAATTCCACAGAAGCCTTGGTCCTTGAAGATTTATGCCACTGATTCATTCATTCTTCACAGCTAATATTCCAAGCATCATTCACAGATCTTCCTATCATTCATAGATCTTTCTCTACATAATTCAATAATTATGAATTATTTTTCAGTGTTTTCACGGACAACCCATATAAACATCCTGGCTTATCAAGTCCTCATGTCCAGTGACCTCTTCCACACCAAGTCAGAAACTCCCTCCCATAGTTCCACTCATGATTGCAACTGCTCTAGTTCTGAAATCACTCATGCAGGCTTTCTGTTCTCAGGACATGTTACAAGGGGAGATCCAAAAAACTCCAAAATTTATTTATTAAAAATTGTGTATTTATTCTTACATGTTTTAACTTCAGTCACCTTCAATGTACTCTTCACTTGATGCAATACACCTATCGAGATGCTTTTTCCACTGTCTCAAAACAGTTTTGAAACTCATCAGTTTGGAGGCCTTTTAGTGCTTCTGCTGTTTCACCTCTTCCACAATGGCAAAATGTTCCCCTCTAAGGACTTTTATCATCCCAGGAAACCAAAAAAAAAGTCACTCGGGGTAAGATTGGGTGAATAGGGAGAGCAGGGCACAGGGGTCATGTTGGTATTAGTCAAAAACTGCTGAACATTCACTGCAGTATAGGTGAGAGCGCTCGTAAATCACTCATCTTAAATTGGCAAATGTGTTGAAAGAATCTCCAAAAAAAAAAATTCACCGAAGCTGAATGCAGCCTCTCACAACAAGAACATTTACCAAGTAGGGGTAATAATTCCGTTTTGGTTTTTTTGAGGTCTCCCCTCGTATATTGTCTGTCACAGCAATTCTAGTAGATCAAATACAGTTTTTCAAGGTATTTCATAAAATTAGAATTTGGGACATTCATCAGAAATGTATCCCTATACTCTTCCAGTGTCAGTATCATATCTTTATTTCTATGACAGAGTAAAAGTTTATTAAACACTTGCTTTAAGGTCAAATACTTTCTATGTGTGTATTCTAATAATGGTCTTCTAGAAACAATGTGAAACAACCCAGAATTCCAGAAGTATAGCTCTACAGTTTGGAATTTCAAGATGTGTCAGGGTCAAGAATATCTGTTGAGGTATGTAGGATCCTGAGATAGTCTTTAAACCATACCATTTATGTGGTAGTTATTATAATCTGTATGAACTGCTTCAGTTAAAGATTTGAAAGATAGAGAAGAAAAATTTCAATTTACTTCACCTCAATAAAGATACTGTACACCCTGAGGATTCAGTTACCGCAGACTGTTTGTCACTAACACTTTAAAAGAAGAAAAAATTTATAAGAATGTAAACACAAGAAAATTTTCATAAGGATTGTAATTTCCACATAGTCAAGTCATATTTCAATTTATAAAAAAAACTTTGGAGAGAAACCCTGGTAACATTAGGACATATATAGTCCATTACAACTTAGCTAATTTTTGCCCAGATGTGCTTGTAAGAAGTAAAATCAAGTTTCCTCAAACATGTTAAGCATAGTTAATGCTGTAATCAAGCATTCCTAATAACACTCTTTCAAAAACTCTTCCATGGCACTTTATTTCCATAAATTCAAGTTTAAAAAACTTTATGGAGGTATTATTTATATTCAAAAAAACACTGCACATGTTTAACGTATGATTTTAATTTAAACATTTTAAACTTAAAATTCATAAATTTTATTTATTGTTCTCCCTACCAGTTTCCAGTTGAGCTTTTGGGAATTAACTAAGCTCCCCTTTGTTGTTAAAATAACTTCCATAAACACAGGAAGACCATTTACACCTCCATGCCTTTACTGGTACTATTTCTCTCTCCTGAAATGACTTTTCCTCTTTCACTCATCTGTAAAAATCTTAACCATCTTTTAAAGCCCTGCTCAAGACTAACACCTTCACAAAGATGTCCATCTCAACTCCTTCAGCATTGTGTTGGGTATAATAAGTAATGTGGAGATGATTTAAAGTACATGCACAATGTGTGCATGTTATATGTAGATACTACACCATCTTACATAAGACACTTGAGTTATGGTATCATCCAAGGGAAATCCTGGGACCATTACCCCTCAGACACCAAGGGACAACTGTATAAGCTTTATCAGAACAAAATATTTATTTCCTCTAGTCTTGACAACAGAATTTCAATTTTCTAGCATTTGTCTGACATCAAAATCACACTTCTGGTTCTGCTTCACTTGATAGGATTATCAATTACTGTCCTGATACTGATTTGATGTTTTATTTTTCTGGGTTCTGCTTCCAGGATGGTACTGACATTTGCTTTATTCTTGATCTTTACCTTACCTCTAGTTCGGGTTTTGCCCCCTATAACAAGTACACTACGTATGCCTGGTAATAAACTAAGCGCCAAGGATACCAAGCTAATTAGGATGCTTCAAAGCTAATTAAGAACCTTCAAAGAATTCTCAATCTAGTGAAAGATACAGACAGGTAAGAAGATAAGTTACTATTCAAGATAAGTCCTTTTATAGAGATGTGACTAGGTGCTATGCAAGCACATAAGTGACAACTCTGATCAGAGAGGTGGACAAGACTTCACATGGGTAATCTTTGAGACAGACAGAAAGGCAAATAAGAACTTGCCTTGGAGAGAATAAAGAGATGGAAATTCAAAATAGAAGGAATTAAGCAAGGGTAAAGGTATGAAAACTTGTAATGCTTTAAGATCAAAGAGAAGTTCTGTGTTGCTAGAAAGTACCACGTATGTGGGCAGGGAGGGGTTAATGTTTAGGGATGAGATTATATATAGAAAACAACAACAAGAACAACAACAAAAACTGGTCTAAGTAAGGCTTTGTAAGCCATGCCAATAAATTCTGACTCATTTTGTAGGAAAATAGGAGGCAAAAGAGGTTTTTAAGCTGGAAGTGATCTAAGCAGATCTATTCTTGTGGAAGCTAACTCTGGAAGTTATGTCAAGGATGGATTTGTGTGGCATCATTAAAAATGATAAGACTGGATTGGAGAAATATTTCTGGGTAAAGATCAAGAATCAAGCAAATATCAAAACCATTTTGGAAACAGAATCAGTGGAAACAGAATCTGGGCAAATAAAACATCAAATCAGTATCAGGACAGTAATTGATAGGATGCCAGTGAAGGCAGATATCTAATATCAGACAAATGTCTTGGGGATTCATAATATTTGGAGAGACAACTGGATTGTGAGGTCAAGGAAGAGAGGCAGGGGTACACATGAAGAGCTCTGTTTTACATACACTGATTGCAGTGTGTCTTGTGTCTAGCAGAGCACCTGAAATAAGTGGGCGGTAATATATAAGGAGACTATACAGAAAACACATTCACTATTTGTAAGAACCAAAAAGTTATTACTTCATAGCAGTATCTGTTGGGAGCCGGCCTTGGAGGTCCACCTGATTGACAGGGTCCTGGTGGGCTGAAGACCCCGGGCCGCAGGGTGAGCCCGGGAAGCTGAGGCCCTTCTGTCTTCCACCTTTGCTGTTTAATGCGGCTGAAGAAATTCTGTGCAGTCGTGGAAGAAGAAAATGGCATGTTTATGCGAAGTACTCACACCTAACCTGAGAATGTCATGGTTCATTTTCCCATTTTCCCGTTGGCCTTTTCTAACATATGCAAGGGTTAAACTCTGAAGCACATCAAGAATGCTTTCTTTCACTTGGTTATAAGTTACTAGATATTGCTTGAGTAAAAAATGATACAAGTATATTCACTCCTTATTTGATTTAGAATTATGCAGTTTAGTGTTTAGACGTAAGGTTTTTTAGAAGTACAAGTTTATGGTAAGTTCATTATGAGCTCATTATAAGTTCTAACACTTATCTAGGAGTTATGTAGGTGATTTATAACACTATTTTCACAGAATTAGGATAAAGATTAATCGTTAAGGTTTTTACTTAATTCTTTAGTTAAATTTTTTTTTTTTTTTGAGTTAGAGTCTCACTCAATCGCCCAGACTGGAGTGCAGTGGCCACTCCCGACCACCGCAGCCTCGCCTGCTGGGCTCCGGTGATACTTCCACCTCAGCCTTCCGAGGAGCCGGAATTACAGGAATGCGCTACCACGCCTGGCTGATTTTTTGATTTATTGTAGAGATGAGGTCTCGCTGCCCAGGTGGGTCTCGAACCCGCAGGCTCAGGCAATCCACTCACCTCAGCCTCCCAAAGGCACGGGATTACAGGCTGAGCCACCAAGCCCGGTTCTTTAGTTAAATTTTAAGTAAACGTTTATAGAGTGGGTTTTCACTGAATTCATAATATACTAATTAGACACTTTTATGATAATTAACTAAATACAGAAAGCAACCTTGGGGGCCTGGGAAATGTCATTAAAAGCTTCTTTTGAGTTTTCTTTAGAAATAAACACTGCAGGATAAGAGAAAAGTAACGAAGACACCTAGACAAGAAAGGCGATTACAAAACTTTGAAGTTCATAAAAGCCCAAAAGAGAAAAACTGCTACATGAAGAATTGTGCACCTGGGAACTTTCTTGAAGCACTTCAAGGACTGTAATTTGGGACTCTTTTGAAGAGAGTTGCCGGCAGTGCTATTCTAGACATGATAATTGGTTTTTTTGTTTTTTGTTTTTTTTTGAGTTGGAGTTTCACTCTGTCGCTCAGACTGGAGTGCAGTGGCCGCTCCCGGCCACCACAGCCTCGACCTACTGGGCTCCGGCGATCCTTCCGCCTCAGCCTTCCAAGTAGCCGGAATTACAGGCATGTGCTACAACACCCGGCTGATTATTTGATATATTGTAGAGATGAGGTCTTGCTGCCCAGGTGGGTCTCAAACCTGCGGGCTCAGGCAATCCACTCACCTCAGCCTCCCAAAGGCGCGGGATTACAGGCTGAGCCACCGAGCCCAGCGATAATTGTTTTATCCATGTATTAATCATAATTGGTAAATGTAATATCATACAAGTTTATATAATCAATATACATATGTATGAGGGCTGACAAAAATTATTAGGCTCTGGTTATGTTTAACAAAGTTTTTACTTTGAGTCATTAAGTTTTAATGCTGTAGTTTAGTGTTTTATAGCTACTTTGAAGATTGCTATAAATTCATAAGTTTAAGTTCACACAATGATAAAATTGGTGCCTCAAAGATAATAATAATTGCTCCAGTGCCTATCTTAAGACAAAGATGTTTTCTAGGAAGTTGCCAAGCATAAGGAAAAACAGCCAAATCACCATTATCCTAAACTTAAAAGCTCATTAGCAATTATGCAACCATAATAATTTTAGTTGTGTTAGTTTTATTTCATTATGTTTAGTTCACTTTATATGTTTATTCAGAGTAAAGATTAGTGTATGTATTTTCACAGTAAGTGACTTTCATAGTTATTCTTTAAATGCTAGCCACTGTTGTTTGGTCAAGTTAATGGGCTTCATATTCCTACTATCACTAGGTACAATCTGTAGTTTTGTCTTAGTGATTTTAAGGCTTTTTTAATTAGACAAGTGACGTGGAACCGAAATCAAAGTAAACTTTGTATGCATTATGTTTAGTTTAAGTGAAACTCCTTTTAAACTTATCTCAAGACTCATTAACTGAAAGTAGATAGTGTTTTTGGCTTATTCGTTTCTTCTAAAGACTGCTAGATGGTGGTAACTTTTAAAGCATATGTACATGAAGGAATTTTCTTTGTCTTGCCCCTTTACGAATGGTATAAAAGCTCTGTGTTAACTAACATTAAATTGTCATCTGTTCAGGAAGCAGGTGTCCGAGTATAATATTTTCGTCCTTCGCCTATCCGTCTCTCCTTCAGGAAATCTCACGACCCGGCAAGGAGCTAGACCCCTTCAAGTATTAAAGTGGGCAGGATGGCTTGACCATGGAATGTACTGGATCTTGGTATCATTAAACTGATTTTCCAAACAGAGGCACTGAGCCAACAAAAATGGAATCTCCCTATCCCAAAGTGAGTCTCAGAAAATAAGAAGTCAATGAGGAATAAGACTTCAATACAGCCTTTGGGGAGATGAACCAGTAAGGAGCAGGTCAAGCTCTGATAGGAAGGGACGACTGTAGGAAGACAGAGCCTCAGTCCTAAGGTGTGGCCAGCACAGTAAGCATCTAACTTGGACCCCAATCTCCACCTCACATAAGTAGGTAAGATGGAAGTACTTAAGTAATGGTTCCAGAAGAAACAGTAACTACAACTGTTACAAATATATCCATTCAGAGACCACAGGAATCTGATTATCTGGCCTTGGTTTAAGGGTGAAAGAACAGAGGGAACAGACCATGGGATCAAAAGAAAATAATATCTTTATAATGTAGAGGGTACATAGGGAAAGATGTCTAGGCTTCTAAAGCAAAAGGTATAAATCACTCTTAAATCCCTAAAGAAAAATAATTTTGGAGACAAATTACTATCTCAATATGCAAGACCGACGCAACTTGGTTCCCTTTAGTATTAAAGCAAATCACTATTTCTTCAGTTAAGCACCAGATGAAGCAGTTAGCTCATCCTTAGAGAAGGTATATGAATAATATCTTAAAATACTAGAATAACTAACTCTTAGTATATTATAACATAATGAGTCACATAATGAGGGCACGTGGAATCTAGGAACAGCTAAAGGGCACAGAGGATTCAAGTTTCTAACCTCCCTCTTGTTCCTGAGCATACTCTCAGTGAGAATGGTAAATGAAAATACCCACATTATTTAAAATGTATTATTTTCTCATTTTCTACTTTTGCTTAACATATATGATTTGGGTAAGTTATAAAACTCTACAGCCAGGCTTGGCGGCTCAGCCTGTAATCCTGCACTTTGGGAGGCTGAGGTGAGTGGATTGCCTGAGCCCGCAGGTTCGAGACCCACCTGGGCAACTTGGCGAGACCATCTCTACAATAAATCAAAAATTAGCCGGGCATGGTAGCACGCATCTGTAGTTCCAGCTACTCAGAGGGCTGAGGCGGAAGGATCGCTGGAGCCCAGCAGGTCGAGGCTGCGGTGGCCGGGAGTGGCCACTGCACTCCAGTCTGGGTGACAGAGTGAGACTCCAACTCCAAAAAATAAAAAATAAAAAAAAATTTAAAAATAAAATAAGTCTACAGTACTCCAAATGTCTAAATGTTAATCATCAGTAAGATAATATACTCAAGACAGAACATTCATAAGACAAAGACTATACTGAGTTTACAAACCTTTCTCCTGTATCCAAATTAGCTTCAGTTTCCATTTCAGTATCATTACCATTAGATTTATCTTGAGAAGTTATTGTTCTTGCTCTTTTACTTTCCACTACTTTTGCTGCTGCCTTAAAAAAGGGTGTGTGAAGGTGGGGGGGGAGAGAGAAAGGAAAATATTAAGCAATTTTAAACAAATAGCCTTAAATGAAATCTTCTAATTCTTCAAGTCATAGCCGAAGTATCTGTTCAGAGGCCAATAAAGGGCACTGTGTTGTTTTCATCAATAATTATAACAGTCAGCAGCTATTTTTGCTACTTGCTTAATTTATAAGCATTAGGGAGGTGATTTTTCCTTGTAAACATATTTGATAGATACAGTGCTCACTAGGCAATTTTAAGATAAAAGGCTACTTAAAAATAATCAATAAAAATTCCAGGTATTTTGAAATATCTAAAAAAAAACTACCTCAAATCAATCAAGATGCTCCATTATAACAACATATCAACTTAAAACCTTTTGAGGTCAAGACTGGGAGCAAAATTCTATTTAAAAAATATAAAAAGACTCTTTTTTAACTCAATTTTAATTTCCCCCAAAATACCTTTTAAAAATTTCTTTAAATCAAAACCAAGTATCTGCTTTTGCTTATTTCTTATTTTTAATACATTCTAAGTTTTCCCCTCAACTTTTTATTTTGAAAAATTTCCCCAACTCTAATTTTGAAAAGTCACAAAAATACTAGAGATCATCCATAAACCATCTAATTAGGTTCATTAATAGTAACATTTTACCATATTCTTCTACAAAATTACTATACAAAATTTCAATACATATTTAAGAATTTCTATTTAAAATATTCTCCTTTATTACAACAAATTCTCTTTAGTCTATTATTAGAGTCACTCTGAAATAATATGTATACCTTCATTAGAAAAGTTGATGATTTTTCACTTAGCACATAATTCACGTAGGTCTTAACTTTCTCCATCATGTGATTGTAACTGAAGTGTTGAAAAAAGGAATGGAATGTATCTTTCTGAGAGATTATGGTAAGTAATTTCCTTTTTAAAGGCTAAACGGAAAAAATGTACTAACATAAGTCACACAAAATTACAAATACAAGAAATTTCGTCATATAGTAATGAAAAAAATCCCCTTTTAAAATATAAACTCAAAGAGACACAAGAGATTTTTAAGAATTCTGTTTTTGAAAGCCCACCAATGTATTTCTTTTCCTTTTTTTGCTCTTCTCCCAATTTTTTGGCATATTTTATATCTTAGACACACAAAAAAGGATAAAAAGAAGCCCAAGTATCTATTACCCAGTTTAAGATATAAAATGTTACCAATAAGGTTAAAACCTGTTTACTACCATAATATGATTGTATCCCTGTTCCTCTCTTCATTGTAATCATTACCCTGAATTTAGAATTTACCATTCCCATGAATTTCTTTATTTGTACTACATATATATCCATAAATAACACATAGTATTGCTTTGTATGGTTTTAACTTTATATAAATGTTGTCATACCATGTGTATTCATTCTTCTGAAACTTACTATATTTTATTCAACTCTATGTTTATGATATTTATCCATGCCAATTTGGGATTTTCAGAACTAGTTATTTTCACCATTGTATAGTATTACACTGATCAAAAGCATCACTTTGAAAATAATAGAAATTGGACTCCAGAAAAAGAAAAAGTGGAGGGTGGGAGGGGGATGAAGGTTGAAAATTACCTATTGGGTACAATATTCACAATTTGGGTGTATAGTACACTAGAAGCCCAGTCCTCACCATTATACAATATACTCATGTAAGAAACCTGCACATATATCCCCTGAATCTATGGCAAAATAAACAAACAACTTTACACTAGAATATATAAAAACAAAACAAAACCCCACTTGTTCATATATCCTTCTAGTCTGTAGAAAGATTTAGACTATTTACTATTACTGCAATGCTCTTAAACATCTTTCTACATATTTTATTGTGCATTGTACAAGTTTTTCTTGGATAGTAGTTCTTTCAACACTGGCAGCACAATAAAAGTTATAGAACTTTAAGAAAATTCCTACCAATTGTCTCAAGAGACCTGGTTTTTTGTTTTTCTCTTTAAAACCTTGTGGCTTTTAAAATGTATAGTAAAAGTAAATACAGCTCTTCTGGGGTATTAATAGAAGTGGAATTGCTGAAATGCGTGCTTACAGATTTTGCTAAAATGCTCTCCAAAAAAGTACCAATTGAGTCCTGAAAGGAAGTTATGGCAGGCAGTCTAGGCATTTCTCAACTTTTTGAGCCAACTGTTGATATTCTAAGATGTTTTAATTGATGCCAGTCTAAGATCTGGGAAATGGGGATCTAGTGTACCAATCACCCAAATAGTGAACATTGTGTTCAACAGGTAACTTTCCAGCCCTCATCCCCCTCCCACCCTCCACTCTTCCTTTTTTTTGGAGTCATATATGTTTCAATATACTAGTTGGTATTGCCCCTTTGACAACTAAGTGAGACTGGCAAATTTTTCACTTTTCTAATACTGAGAACAGGTGAAAATAAAAAAATCTGAAGCTGGTTGCCACAAACTTCTGTCGTTAAGCACACGTGAAATGATCTTTTCTAAATTTGTCACCTTTTTCACAATACAGCTGAAAGTTGCAGATGTATCCAGTATTTGCCTCAGATACCACTCTGACTAGCATTCCATACTCTGTATTTTTATTCAGATTATAAACCCGAAATTACAGTCTTCTACAATGAGAAAAATTCATGTCAGTTGCAACCAAGGAACAGAATTTGGAATGACATAAATTCATGTCATTGGTCACGAATGAGTTAAGCACCTTCTTTTAATGTTTTCTGACCATAAATTTTCCTGTTCTGTGAGATACAGAGTAGAAATTTCAGTAGTCTTATGACTGGAGAAACTGACATAACTACTTTGGAAAACTGTTTGGCAATATTGACTAAAATTGAGTATGCGTATAACCTATTACTCATTAATTCTACCCCTCAGTATATACCCAACAAAAATGCATACCTTTGTTCTACAAAAGACATGTGAAAGGATATTACAGCCAAAAACTGAAAGCACTTATACTGTATGAGGTATTAGTAATCTAGAGATGAATTAAAGTATATGGGAGGATGTACACATGTTATATGCAAATACTATGCTATTTTATATAAGGGACTTGCACATCCAAGGATTTTGGTAGAATTGAGGTCCTGGAACCAATTCTCCATAGATACTGAAGGATGACTGTACTGCGTTAAATGTTATTAAAATGAGTTTCAACTGTTTCCTTTTACCGTTTCAGTGCAGAAGATTTTTTTTTTTTTTTGAGTTGGAGTCTCACTCTGTCGCCCAGACTGGAGTGCAGTGGCCACTCCCGGCCACCGCAGCCTCGCCTGCTGGGCTCCGGCAATCCTTCTGCCTCAGCCTTCCGAATAGCCGGAATTACAGGCATGCGCTACCACTCCCGGCTGATTTTTTGATTTATTGTAGAGATGAGTTCTCGCTGCCCAGGTGGGTCTCGAACCCGCGGGCTCAGGCAATCCACTCACCTCAGCCTCCCAAAGGCGCGGGATTGCAGGCTGAGCCACCGAGCCCGGCATAGTGCAGATTTTAAATCACACGTGATTTTCATTATTTTTCTATTGCACAGAATTGTTCCATAGTGTTTAAAAGAAAACATTCCTTTTCTCCTCCAATTTTCTTTCAGTTTTCCTCATTCCACATACACAATTCTAAAATTTTATGATTTTAATTTAAACAATTACCATGTAAGAATTGGGGTCACCAAATATTCTTTCAAAGACTTCCTCTGCTTCTTTAAAATTGCCATTTTCCATACAAACAGCTATGGCCTAAAAGACAAGATGACAAATAAAAATCTCAGACCGCTTTTTAAAATAATAAAGGTAAGTCTAAAATACTTCATTTAAAACATTTTAATGTCATGTAATAATTTTATTTTTATTTTATTTTATTTTTTTGAGTTGTTGTCTCACTCTGTCACCCAGACTGGAGTGCAGTGGCCGCTCCCGGCCACCGCAATCTCGCCTGCTGGGCTCCGGCGATCCTTCCGTCTCAGCCTTCCAAGTAGCTGGAATTACAGGCATGTACTACCACGCCCGGCTGATTTTTTGATTTATTGTAGAGATGAGGTCTCGCTGCCCAGGTGGGTCTCGAACCCGCGGGCTCAGGCAATCCACTCACCTCAGCCTCCCAAAGGCGCGGGATTACAGGCTGAGCCACCGAGCCCGGCTTGTAATAATTTTAATTTGATAAATGATTTAAAGTACTTTTTCAAAGATGAAATTGACTATGACTTGACAAGACATAAAAAATTTTCTTTTTTCTTTTTTTTTTTTTGAGTTGGAGTCTCACTCTGTCACCCAGATTGGAGTGCAGTGGCACACTCCTGGCCACTGCAGCCTTGACTTGTTGGGCTCTAGCAATCCTTCAGCCTCAGCCTTCCAAGTAGCTGGAACTACAGGCGTGTGCTACCACACCTGGCTAATTTTTTGATTTATTGTAGAGATGAGGTCTCGTCAAGTTGCCCAGGCGGGTCTCGAACCTGCAGGTTCAGGCAAATCCACTCACCTCAGCCTCCCAAAGCATGGGATTACAGGCTGAGCCACCGAGCCCGGCTCATAAAAAATTTTCATTGGTCTCATGCACATTGACTAATATACGCTCAGCAGTTTATCTCTAAATTACATTAAAAGCAGGCATTAACAAATTAATTAGAAGCTGCACTATGCATATTTAGAACCCACCTAAATATTAATTTTTAGCAAGGGGAAATGAGAGAGGAGGTAGGTGGTGTTTGTGATGACTAGGATACGTAAAATTTGCTACTTAGGATTCCTGGAAAATCACTAATAGAAACCTAAGAAGCCAGATGCTTTTGAATTATCATTTCACACACTGGCCTTTCTGATAACATGTGGTACATAGGATCACTATTACCACTTGGGTAGCTATGTAAACTTGGCTATGTAAACCTCTTGATGCCTCAGTAAAATAGTGGAAGCAATAGTACCTACATTTCATAGGACTGTTATGAGGATTAAAGAGTTATGAGTATGTAAAAGTGCTTACAACAGTTGCCTGGCAAATAGTCAGTGATATAGGACATGTTTGCTATAAACTTTATTGTCACTCATTCAACTTTATAGCAGTGTATCAACAAAGGCCAGCTTCCCCAGAGGTCCAAAAGATTGGGATAACATGACAAATCTTTTTGCCCTAGGTTGAATTCAAGATGAGAAGTCACTTTTCTGCCCAATCTCCTCTCTTCAGGTTCTAACTCTACCTTGACATGACATACACTATGCAAATTCTTGGGAAGGTGGGGAACAACCTAGATTTTCTCTTCCATCCAACCCATAAGGAAATTTTGAAAATTCTAAAAAGTGAGGAAAAGTTTAAGGTAAGAAAGTATTTGCTTTGACTGCTAGCAAAATATATTTTCCCTGCTATTGTATCTCTGACTTTTTTGGCTTCTCATTCTTAAATAGTCTACAAAAATTCTCTCTATGTGCCTAAAACTTTTCATACTCTTGATCACAAATATTCGTAACTTATCATTAATTAAAAATAATTGGCTGGGCTCGGTGGCTCAGCCTGTAATCCCAGCACTTTGGGAGGCCGAGGCGAGTGGATGGCCTGAGCCCGCAGGTTTGAGACCCACCCGGGCAACTTGGCAAGACCTCGTCTCTACAATAAATCAAAAATTAGCCAGGCGTGGTAGTGCACGCCTGTAGTTCCAGCTACTTGGAAGGCTGAGGCAGAAGGATTGCCGGAGACCAGGCAGGTCGAGGCTGCGGTGGCCAGGAACGTGCTACTGCACTCCAGTCTGGGTGACAGAGTCAGACTCCAATTCAAAAACAACAACAAAATAATTATCTGCTTTTTCATATTTATAATATTTATTTGTTTATAGTTTATTTTATTTTAGATTCAGGGGGTACAAGTGCATATTTGTTATATGGACAATGTGTAGTGGGTGGGAAATAGGCCTCAAAGTGACCCATTCCCCAGACAGTGAACATTACATTCAGTAGGTAATTTCTGAACCGTTCATCTCTCTTTTTAGTGTCCCTAGTATCTATTCTTTCCATATTTGTGGTCATTTAGCTTCCACATATGAAGTGAGGACGTGCAGTGTTTCATTTTCTGTTTCTGAGTTAGTTCACTTAGGATGATATTCTCTAGCTCGATCCATGTTGCTGCAAAGGACATGACTTCATTCTATTTTATGACTGCTAGTATTTCCAATCTTTAAATAGAAATTTGGAGTCCCTAGTTTTTAAATGTTGCTAATTGATTTTTAAACAGATGCAGCATATTTTCTGCAACATGGGGGGAACATACACCCAAATATGGAACATTAAGTCCCAGCTTCTAGTGCTATGTCAAGACTACAAGTCATAGGTAAAATTTCTTTCTTTAAAAATTTTTTTTGAGTTGGAGTCTCACTCTGTCGCCCAGACTGGAGTGTAGTGGCCGCTCCCGGCCACCGCAGCCTCGACCTGCTGGGCTCCGGCGATCCTTCCACCTCAGCCTTCCAAGTAGCTGGAACTGCAGGTGCACACTACCACAACCGGCTAATTTTTGATTTATTGTAGAGATGAGGTCTCACCAAGTTGCCCAGGTAGGTCTTGAACCCGTGGGCTCAGGCAATCTACTCACCTCAGCCTCCCAAAGCACTGGGAATTACAGGCTGAGCCACTAAGCCCAGCATAGGTTAAATTTCTAAAGAGAAAGATTATATTAAATTTGACTAGTGTCCAACTTCCATTAGATTGTTCTTAATTTCTTTTAGATGTTAAATGTTTTTATTTCCTAGCAACACAATAAGTATAAGCACAGAGTAACACTCATACCTGAATTTTAATTAAATTCTGTATTTCTTCATGAAGTTTGTCATGTTCTTTTTCAATTGAACCCCAAATCATTAGGGCTGATTCCAAAGGTGTAATTCGTTCATCATTTTCAAACTGTGCATCTTTCAAAACAGAAAAAAAAATAAGTTAACTTAGAAAGTTAAATAGAAACTTATGTTGTCAGTTTTATAAAATGCATTCCTTTAAATATTTACTGAGTATATACCAGTGCCAGGCTCTGTCCTTGCATATACCTGATTAGGGAAGTAATGCAATTTTCTGAGATAATTTGCTCATTAAGATCAATTTCAAGTAGAAAAGGCTTGACAAGATTACAAAACATTTGAAGCTTTTCTTTAATAAAATATTTAGTTCTTAAAAACTAAAATGAGGCTGGGCGCAGTGGCTCACACCTATAATCCCAGGACTTTGGGAGGCTGAGGTGAGAGGATTGCCTGATCTCACAGGTTCGAGACCAGCCCGGGCAACCTGGCGAGACCTCACCTCTACATCAAAAAATTAGCTGGGTGTGGTGGTGTGTGCTTGAAGTTCCAGCTACTTGGAAGGCTGAGGAAGAAGGATTGCCTGAGCCAAGCAGGTCGAGGCTGTGGTGCCATGAACATGCCACTGCCCTCCAGCCTGGGTGACAGAGTGAGACTGACTCAATAAAAACACCAAAACCTAAAATGAGCTATATTTTAAATAAGGTATTACAGCAACAGAATTCTTACATGGTTTATAATACTACTAACTGGAATATAACAAACCTCAAGACAGAGCCTCAGTGTTCTTACACATAAAATGGTTTCTGAATGTGTCTGTGTGTGTATACATGCCAGACATATGTGGGTAAATTATCAAAATAAAAAAAGACAGCTCACATCTGTTATATCTTTTGTTTTACATTTAGACACAGATTGGAATATTTCCAATATAAAGTAAAAACATATATTTACCAAGGGATTTTCCTGATGCAATTCTTGTCAAAAACTGACATATGTATATAGTTCTCAACTGAGAAGCTGTAAGACTGGGCAGTCCATGAATAATAGCTGGAAAAAAAAGTTAATCTTATTAAAATAAAATCAAACCTGATCCAGTAGTGCCACTGTGTGGTTTGTTAAGTAATAGGTTACAAACATCTCATAAAAATTATCACAAACTTAGAGTTGTATTTTTTCTATATTTAATTTTTTTAAATCAGAAAAAAATAGCAGTGAACATTTTTCTTACAAAAATATAACCGATGTCTCACATGCAGAATAATAAATATTTAAAATCACTTTCACAAGTAGCACTATATTAACAAAAAAGATTTAGATCCAAATTGTAAAATGTGTCAAATCATTGGTTGGAAATTTATTTTATACTTTGAAACTTTTCATATTATAGAAAATATTTTATATTAGTTCTGTGTCAAGATTTCATTTTACAAAGTCATATTTTAGAAACAAATGTTTGTCAATATTAATTAATGTTAATTAATTAACATTAACCTCCCAAATACGTGAATGCCCACCCAGATGTTGAGCAAAGCAGTGACATATATGATGGCGAGTAAACCATATCCTGGACCTCAATGAACTTATTGCCATGTAGCAAGTACACGTACAAAAGATAAGTACCAAATGCAATGAAAACATATAACAACGACACTAAGAAGTGTGTTTAAATATCTTTTGCAGGGAAGGTTTGTCTGAGGAAATAACCTCTAATCTAAGACCTGAAGGTGCTATTGCTGGCATTATACTTGATCTGGGCTTATGTGATGTGTATAAAAAGTTTAAATAATTAGCAAACTGAAAAGCAGCCCGGTAGCCATGAAGCATGTAAGACAAATATATTTATCCTATTTCCTCAATTCTAACATAATCTTATGCTATAGCAGAGACTATCTGGATCATACATAATCATAATTTAACAGGATTTAAAGAGAGCACAAAATGTATATAAAATTCAAACATGTCATTCTGTATTTAGTGAATATCTACTGCCAGCTTTTGCTAGGAGGTGATAACTCAAGAGGTAAGACAGCCAGTCATTGTCCCTCATGAAAGTTTTAGTCTGACTGAAAAGGCACAAATTAAACAAAAAGTTATATAAGTAATTAAAATTTTAATGAGCGACACAAAGTACAGGCATACTTCCTTTTATTGCACTTTGGTTTACTGTGCTTCATAGATAGTGCATGTTTTACAAATTGAAAGTTTGTGTCAACACTACAACTACATTCAGCCAAGTCTATTCTGCCATTTTTCCAACAGCATGTGCTCACTTTGTCCCTGTATCATATTTTGGTAATTCTCGCAATACTTCAAACTTTTTCATTATTATTATCTGTTATAGTGAACTGTGATCAGTGATCTCTGATGTTACTATTGTAAAGGTTCTGGGGCACCACAAGTCACACCTACGTAAGACAGCTAACTTAATCGATAAATGTGTGTGCTCTGACAGCTCTACCAACTGACCGTTCTCATCTCTGTTCTTCACCTCAGTACTCCCTATTCCTTCAAACATAATATTGAAACTATGCCAATTAATAACTGTACAATGGCCTCTAATTGTTCAAGTGAAAGGAAAAGTGGCAGGTCTCTTACATTAAATCAAAAATTAGAAATGATTAAGCTTAGTGAAGAAGGAATGGCAAAAGCTGAGACAGGCTGAAAGCTAGGTCTCTTGCACCAAATAACCAAGTTGTAAAGGCAGAGTAAAAGTTCTTAACGAGGATTAAAAGTGCCATTGCCTTACTAGACTCTGATATGGCGATGTGCTCTTTGAGCTATGGCCCCCTCTTCTACCTTGGAGAGGTGAATCCTCTCTCTCTCTCACTTACTTTTTAAATAAATTATACTTTCTAATCTAAAATACTTTTTAAATAAATTCTACTTTCTAATCTAAAACACAAACAACAAAAAGTAAATAAAGAGGATTAAAAGTGCAACTACAATGAACACATAAACCATCAAGTGAAAGAGGCTTACTGCTGATATGAGAAAGCTTTAGTTGTCTGGATTAAAGACCAGACCAGCCACAACATTCCGTTAAGCCACAGCATAATCTAGAGCAAGTCGCTAATGCTCTTCAATTCTATGAAGGTTGAGAGAGGCGAGGAAGCTGTAGAAAAACAGTTGGAAGCTAGCAGAGGTTGGTTCATGCGGTTTCAGGAAAGAAGTTATCGCTATAAAACGCAAGCGCAAGGTGAAGCACCAAGTGCTGAAGAGAAAGCTATACAAGTTGTTCAGATCTAATGAAGGCGGCTGCAATAAACAAGATTTTCAATGTAGACAAAACAGCCTCATATTGGAAGAGGATGCCATCAAGCCCTTTCCTAGCTAGAGAAAAGACAATGCCTGGCTTTGTCACTCTTGTCAGGAGCTAATGCAGCTGGTAACTCAATACTCAAGTACCATTCTGAAAAGTCTTACAGCCCTTAAGAATGATGCTAAATCTACTCTGCCTGTGCTCTAGAAATGGATGACAGCACATTTGTTTATGGCATGGTTTACAGAGTATTTTAAGTTCACTGTTGAGACCTACTGCTCAGAAAAAAAGATTCCTTTGACAATGGACAAGGAAATTAACATTTTCACGTCTGCTAACAGAATATCCATTCTGTAGCCTATCAATCAGGGAGTAATTTCAACTTTCAAGTCTTATTATTTAAGAAATACATTTTGTAAGGCTATGGCAGCCAGCCATAGACAGTAATTTCTCTGATGGATCTGTACAAAGTAAATTGAAAACCTTTTGAAAAGATTCACCGGCTGGGCTCAGTGGCTCAGCCTATAACCCGCGCTTTGGGAGGTTGAGGTGAGTGAACTGCCTGAGCCTGTGGGTTCGAGACGTGCCTGGGCAACTTGGCGAGACCTCATCTCTACAATAAATCAAAAAAAATTAGCCAGGCATGGTGGCGCATACCTGTAGTTCCAGTTACTGGGAGGCTGAGGCGAAAGGATCACCGGAGCCCAGCAGGTTGAGGCTGCGGTGGCCGGGAGTGTGCCACTGCACTCCAGTCTGGGTGACAGAGTGAGACTCCAACTCAAAAAAAAAAAAAAAAAAAAAAGAATTCACCATTCTAGATTCCACTAATAACCTTTGTGATTCATGGAAGGAGGTCAAATATACACATTAATAGCAGTTTGAAAGAAGCTGATTCCCAACTTCATGGATTACTTTGAGCGACTCAAGAATTCAGTGGAAGAAGTAACTGCAGATTAGACAGAAAGAGCAAGAGAATTAGAATTAGAAGTGGAACCTGAAGATGTGTCAAAATTGCTGCAATCTCAGGATCAAACTTGAATGGGTAAGGAATTGCTTCTTCTTTTTTTTTTTTTTTTTTTTTGAGTTGGAGTCTCACTCTGTTGCCCAGACTGGAGTGCAGTGGCCGCTCCTGGCCACCGCAGCCTTGACCTGCTGGGCTCCGGCGATCCTTCCGCCTCAGCCTTCCAAGTAGCCAGAATTACAGGCATGTGCCACCACGCCCAGCTGATTTTTTGATTTATTGTAGAGGTGAGGTCTCCCTGCCCAGGCGGGTCTCGAACCCATGGGCTCAGGCAATCCACTCACCTCAGCTTCCCAAAGGCACGGGATTACAGGCTGAGCCACCGAGCCGGCAGGAATTGCTTCTTATGGACATGCAAAAAAGTGGTTTCTTTGGATGGATTCTACTCTTGGGGAAGATGCTGTGGGTATTGTTGAAATGACAAAAGATTTGGAATATTTTATACAAATTGATAAAGCAGTGGCAGGATGTGAGAAGATTGACTCTAATTTTAAAAGATGTTCTACTTTGAGCAAAATGCTATCAAACAATATCATATGCTACAGAAAAATCTTTCATGAAAGAGTCAATCATGTGGTAAGCCTCACTGTTGTCTTATTTCAAGAAATTGCCACAGCCAACCAACCTTCTGCAACTTCCACCCTGAGCAGTTAGCAGCCATCTACATCAAGAACCTCCACCAGCAGAAAGAATACAACTCACTGAAGGCTCAGATGACTGTTAGTCTTTTAAGGTATGTACATCTTTTTTTTAGACATAATGTTATTGCATACTTAATAGATTAAATATAGTATAAATATAACTTTTATATGCACTGAGAAACCAGAAAATTTATGTGACTCAATTTATTTCAATATTCTTTTTTCAGGTTGGGCATGGTGGCTCACACCTGCAATTACTACATAGCAGATAAAAGTTGAATATGGAGAGAAATTAAAGTAGAAGCAGTCTGACTTTGTTCCCTAAAACAGATTAGGTCTTCTGTTTGCTTTGCTCCTGTACTATGGAGGCATACCTCCAAGATATTGTAGTTTTCGTTCTTGACCACTGCAAAAGTCAACTCTGGGAGAGGACTGCTTGAGTCCAGGATTTCGAGACCAGCCTGGGCAACACAGAGAGACCTCGTCTCTTCAAATAAAATAATTAAATCGGCATGGTGGTGTGATCCTGTAGACCCAGCTTTTTAGGAGGTTGAGGTGAAGGCTGCAGAGAGTCATCATGGTGCCATTGCACTCCAACCTGCACGACAGAATGAGACTCTGACTCAAAAAAAATTCACTTTTTTGCATTGGTCAAGAACTGAAATCATGATATCTTGGAGGTATGCCTACACAGTATAGGAGCAAAGCAAACAGAAGACCTAATCTGTTCTAGGGAACAAAGTCAGACTGCTTCTACTTTAATTTCTTTCCATATTCACTTTTGTCTGCTATATAGTAATTACAGACATCTTACATTCTATTGTCATTTCATTCACTGTATCTGCTAGGCAGGTTGTTTACAAAACAAAAACAAAGGAAAAAAACCTTCCAGGTTGAACCTGGCTCCTGTGTTCCTTTATAACCCCATCACTGAGGTGGTTTTGTTTTGCTTTTTTTTTGAGCACTTCCTTACTTTCTGGCACTACAGGATGCTACGGATTTATCTTGTATATTTTCGATACCAGTCCCAGAATCAAGTCATTTCTGCAAAGACCCTTGGTTCCTTTGATTAAAGAATGACACTGGAAACTAAGATCTGTTTGGTTCAAGTACAATGGTGTTTACAACTAATGGATCACAACCAGTTAGATTTATTTGTCCCTTCTCCAAACCCCCACTGCTTCACTTGACTAGCCTTAAAAATAAATATAATTAAAAATAAGAATAAATCAAGATCTAAAGTTAGGTTGCTTCTGTGCCCTTTTATCTGACAGCGAAAATAAATATGCATATACTAACCCAAGTCTATACACACAAATATAACACCTATGTTAGCTTAACAGGAGCTCATAATGATGTCTCCAACTCTCATCCATTACCACATAGACAATCCTAGCCATCTCTCCCCAAAAGACTTTAATAATTCTACTGGCTTCTTCCCAGGATTTAATTTTCTACTTAATGTTAATTATTCATGGTTCCAGCATTATCCGTGACAAGGGGAAAGATCTATGAACTGGAAGGTAAAGCATGGGGCTGGAACACCCCTTTTAACCTAGCCACACTAGTTTTAACTACCTCTCTATAAACTACGATTATTTACCTAACTCCTGGGATTATCATGAAGATGTGTCAATACGGCTTTTGAGAATTTCCTATTAAGTACTGTGTTTATAAGATCATAAATACCTACTTGTACAAGCTTAGTCCAACACTGAATGTAGTATCGGAGCATCTTTCTGTTATTTTTCAAAAAGCTACACTAATCCGCCCAAATAGCTCAGCTGGGAGCGCCTTAGCTCGAAAAAAGGCTATACTACACGAGTCTTGTCTACGGGTCTATGTCTTTGTCTATCACTTAGCTCGGGCTGCCTAAGCAGCAGATTTCATGAAGTTTCTTTTCTCCTGAGGACTATACCGAGCGAGCCAGCCAACAGACGTTTGAACAGCTCACAAATTAATACCACACAGATGCATGGAGGTCACTGGAGGTTACAGTGACTATCACCACAGGAACGAAGGGACACCTGAGTAGAAAAACAAATATCAAGCATAAAGCGCCAAAGGAGACAAAACGAGCCGGGTACTGGGTTCGGGGCAATTTCAGACTCGGGAGTCCATTTAATCCTTGGGTCAGCCCGCCACAGGGGTTGTTTGACCGAAGAGCAAGACCGACCCTGAGAAAAAAACCGAGGCGCCGACATGCGGAAGAGGGATCCGAACCAAGTGGAGCCCAGAGCCTCGGACCCCCAGCTCACCAGCCGCAGCAGCGGCTTTCCTCAGACCCTTGGGGCTGCAGCGCAGGAAACCAGGC